ATATATGGAAAAGTCCATTTAAGTCTTGGCCATTGCCAGTTGGTAAAAATTGCAGATTTGTCATCATATGTGACTTAACGTCCTGCGTCTAGTTTACCTTTCCTGTAGCACCATGGGAGACATACTGGGCGCCCTCGCTGCGTGCAATTTCAACCTGGCGGCGGGCGATGCAGGGCCGAGCTATCGCTGTGCCCAGCAGGTAGCGGTCCTCATACACAGCGTTGGCCTGAACTGCAGGCCAGATATACTCCTCCACAAACTGTGCACGCAGGTCCTCAATGAAAACCTGCACAGGAACAGAAGTCAGGACCCAGAGCAGAGCTTTTTGATGAAGTACATCTGTGGACCATTTATACATGAGGAATATTTAATTATATTCCCTCTAGCGAGAGATAAGTGGAGATCAAAAGATTAAGTAAGTGATATTGATGCATCAAAATGAAACAACTACTGAATTTCTTTTATTACAGAATGTCATTTCATTATCCTAAGAGACATGAATCATTATTTTATTTGTGTCATGGCCATTTTACAGTAAGGATAAGATTTTAAAAATTATTTTACTTCCTAAGATCTGTATAGGCCCAACAATGCCAGTATTCATCAGGCTCTGCTTGAGTTGCCCACAAACTACTTCATATGAAAAATGTATTCATACCAGCATTATTTACTGGACCTGCCAGACAGTTAAGAAGTCATTCAGAAAACCTTTTTAAAAAATCTGAAGAAGAACATGAAAGAATATTGATAATGCCCTTACATCATGTTCTAGCTTCTTAGATCTGTGACACCCTCCTATTCATCCAGAGTAATATATTTCATCATATTTCACTCACCTTCTTTGCTCCGAGGATTTCTGCCTTTTTCTGCGCAGCTTCAAAATCCTCACTTTGCCCGATGTTGGCCTGAAAACACACAAATGTAATCACAAATCAAGGTGATGCAGGTAATCCTTAGATCATCTGTGGTGGAGAATATATAACCTCCACATAAACACAAAGACGTGTGCCTGTTACGTGTCAATTCCGACAATCCCACATCTTGTCATTCAGATCACGTCGGTGGAGGAGATGCAACAACCTCTTCACAGCCAAAAACCAACCATGAACACCACTTAAAGGCTCCTGGTGCTTCCTGGCCCCCAGAGCTGAACACAAAATACGGGAATGTTTCCATTTCCCATAAAAAGACGTGATACTCATCTAGTAAACAAAACAGACGTGCTTTAGTTTGATACGGGGACATTATCAGCCATGTCTGATGGTGCAGCAGGTCTGCGTCAATGTCTTTTATGTGAAATGTGAGCTACAGAGACAAACCAGATCCATCTATTCACACACAGATATCCCAGGTATTTCCATCACGTTATTATGAGTCACTAACGTGTGCGTTTGTGTGTTTGTTTCTCTCTCTCTCATCATTCTGCTTGTATCTATGACACCACAGCTGCAGGATCCAGATCTCACCCTACTGACACTCTTCTATCTCTTTATCATCTTCGTCATCTTCTTTGTCGTCATCTTTATATCATTATTATTTGTATTCGTTGTTTATTTTGAAGGTATCTCTGACTCCAGAGCTGCAGATGACTTGGATATTATTCTTATCACTGTTATTATTATTATTATTATTAAATGGTGGGGCTATTATTAATAACACCACTACATGTATAAGTACCACCTAAATCTTTTTTTATTGTAACAACCACTCTGACCGAGCTTAAATGTGACAGTTACACAACTGTTCCTGGTCTCTCTCTCCTCTCTCTCCGCTCCACCCAACAGGTCGAGCCACACTAAGTCTGCGTCTTCCTTTCTCGTTGTAGGAACTGTTGGTTGAAATGTTGTAAGGTCTAGACCTTACTAGATAAACTGCCTTGAGCAGCAAATGAATTGAATTGAACCTAAGCATTGCAGCAACCAGCATTAGTTATGTCTGTGGAATTCTCCCTCTCTGCCTTTGTTGATGTAAATGTCTTTGACAGGTTCAAACAAGCACATGGTTTCGTAATTGCATAACAAACGGCAAATAATTTCATGGATCACTGTCTGCTGCCTCTTCCTCTGCTCCCCTGCAGAGCCACAGCCCAAAAGCACCTCACATGCCACAGCCCTGATCTATAGACCTTCATCCATCCCCCCACAAACCCACTGAATGAAAAGTTAGACCACAAGGAAATCTGCCTGCTGTGCAGTTCTGAGCTGCCTCGGGTCAAAGAGTAAATCCACCTAGATTTGCGCTGACATTATTTCAGCCAAATCCTGGTGGTGGCTGAGAGCGAACCAGCACAAGAGCTGCGATAGGGTTTTTGTGTTTTTAGGGGGGGGGGCAAATTGCATCAGCTGCCTGAAAACAACGAATTGTAAAACTTCAGATGCGTGACACACAAGAGCAGCTGGTCGGCAACACATAAAAGCCACCTGTTGCACACAAACGCACATGGACACACAGGTCCTGAGATCTTACCAAGTAGGTGATGACATCGTAGCCCTGCTCCTTCAGCCAAACCAGAATGCAGGACGTGTCCAGTCCGCCGCTGTAGGCCAGAACCACTGTGCCTTTAGACATGATGAGGGCTGTTCGGTCCGGGCAGGTGGAGAAACTGTTAGAGAGGAGACAGCAGGGAGTCAAACGAGTTACTACAATCTTACCTAGGGGTATCAATGTAAAGCCCATGCTACTTGGAAGTTGTAAGATCCTCCTGTAATATAATACAATCACACGTGTCAAGTCTAATCTAGGCAAATGGTTTAAAAATAAATCCCTTCATTCATTTCTAATGCAGTAACAGCTCCAGGAAAGAGCCCAGAGACAGCAGCAGCAGATAATTCATCGATTTGTTGATTAATTTGTCAGTTTCTCTAATATTTAAGTTATTGAACATGAAACATTTCCATCCGATGTGATGTGAACATGTGATGTGGCCATTCACCACCGCTGTCTGACAACTGAGAGCAAAACTGATGACATGGCCCGAGGATGATTTAACCAATTAAGTAAATATTGGAGCCTTGTCCTGAGGTTTTCTCTCAGGAGGATGTAGCAGTGCAATGCTGGTGTTTTACTGTGGATGACCATTAGGAGCATTCAACCATGAGGGTAAGAGCCCAGAACATCATCCATCCATCAGTAAAATGAAATATTACTGATAAATAGTTTTCAACACATTTGCCACCAAACAAACTGAGCTCCATCAGTCCCCACCATTCTTTTGTTGTCAAACCTAAACTAAAAGTAAATAAAGGCTACATTTACATATATTTAAACATATTTTTACTTCACTAAATCTAACTTTTCCGCGACATTCTTCCAGATGACAGACTAAACTTGTATTTCAGCGAGAAATCACATCAGCATGGTTTGATGGTGGCGATGATTATGAAACCTCCACATGTAATTTCAGATCCTGGATCAGCAGCTGTGACAAACTGAACTACAGGAGATTCTCACACACACACAGACACACAGACACACAAACATACACACACACACACGTGACTAACCTATGAAACCTCAACGTGGAGCAAACACGCAGATGTGCAGTAGCCACTCACCAGAGAGGGATTTCTGTCTGTTTTTACCGCGGAGATGAGCGCGTGCGTCCCCCGGAGATGTGGTGGCTGGTCTGTGGATGAGGACCGGAGGAGAGCGGTGGCGGCGGCGGCGGCGGCAGCGGCGGAGTGTTGAACGCGCAGAGGTGACGGTCTGAACGGTCTGACTGTTCCAGCTCACGTGGCATCATCCACCAATCCTCAGGTCGCGCGCGCACAGACTCACACCGAGCTCAGGGTAGCATCCGAACCTGTGCACGTGTACGTACATGCACGTCATCCGTATGTTGGGATATGTGTTGTTGTCATGGTGAAAGGTGCTCTTCAGGAAACCTGTTTTTGTTATGTAGCCCCCAATGGGCCCCCTGTTAAAGAGAGAGTTCCTTATTAGCATAGTTCACCCGAAAATGTAAAAAGCTGTGGGCAACTGTGAGCAAACATTTGCAGAGGGAGTCTGGAACCAAGAATAGTTTTCATTATAAATACATCTGATCAATGTTCAGTTTAAAGTTTTAAGGAATTTGGCATAAAATGTTTTTCAGAATCAAGAAATTATCAAAGTTGTTGCTAATTACTTTGCTGTTTATCAACTAATAATTAATCAGCTCATTATTTCAGCTTTGGAGAACTGTTGGGCATCATGGGGTAACAAGGAAACTGAATAGTGGGTGTCAGTAAGGGCACCAAAACAAAATTTGAAGTATTAGATTATATTAGATTCTTACATAGAATTTTTTTTTATCTCTTATCATTTTTTAAAAATCATTCTCCAAACTTAAACTATAAACAGGCATGTACGAATCAACAGCAGTTATAAATACACAGATACATTGGCTTGAGAGGAAACTGTATATCATGTCCTACTTCTTCATTTCTTTTCAATTCTCGGGTTTGTGGTGTCAGTGATACTTCCTCCATCAGTGAAACACAACTCCAGTGTTAACATAACAAAACACATATTTGAACTAGATTCTAACAAACACTTTATTATTCGTTTTTGTAAAAGAAGGTGAAAGACATACAATTGTTTAAACTGTTTGAGTACATTCTCAGTTTAAGTGAATTTAAAGGGTCAGTTGTAAACTTTAAGAAGGTTCTTATCATTCCTACTGGAGCTATTTCTGGACAGAGGACTTAACTTATTAATATACTAACCTTTACTATTATCCCGATAAATAACTTTATAAAAGTAAATGTATATATAACTTTTATTTAATACATATTTTTATTTTCAACAGTTACTGCTGTAATTAACAAACACAAATCAATGATTTATTATCATGGCGGCAATCAAAAGACACAGATGTGTCCTAAAGATGTGTCCTAAATTTTATCAACGTGGCTGAAAATGATGCTATGCTCCACTGCAGAGGTGTTACTGCAGTCGGCCACCAGAGGTCAATATTTCTCAAAATCTCTGACCTGAAAATCTAATCTGTGGCTCGATGACCTTCCAGCACCAACTCAACACCCTTCATTCAAATCTTCTGCGGAGACTGATCTGCAAGCAATCCTCACTAAGTCTGCGTGTCTTCTGTACTATGCTCCATGTTGGCACTCTGCTGTGCGGATCATCAGTTTAGAGTTTACATTTCATGGTCCACTGATGTCAGATAATCTGTGAGAGCATAAAACCTTGAGTGAGCCAATGACTTTATATTTTTAATTTTTATTTTTGCGCCATGAACTTCCAAAATAATAAAAAAAAAGATCAAAAATACAATATAAACTTCTGAAAATCAATACACTGAATATTTTTATTTTCTTACACAGGGCAAAAAACACGCAAGTTCAGGTGATGAGTGACTCTGCTTAGTCCTCTTTGCTTTTCTAGATCGCAGAATATGGTGTTTGACAAACGTTGAGCCTCCCCCACTACTATCCCCCGATCATATACAGTTCACTAGTTAGGCATTTGCCAGAGACGTACAGTACAAAGTGCCCAATAACAAGTCCTGGAGCTAACAACTGTGTCGAAGTTTTCAATCAAGCACGACTGCAATCCACCACTATATAATGTACACGTCCCCCCCCAGATTCAGTCAGTTGAGACTGAAGATGTACAGATGTATTGAAAGGGTATGGCATTATAAAAAGAGAGGGGAGATGAAACCTGGAGAGAAGATGCAAGTTGCTATCAAATGAGCGCCCAAGATTTCTGTATCAATGCGGTGAGAAAGTCTCAGACACTCTGAGATCCAACGACAGAAAAACATCAGTGTCCATGGGGTGGAGGGGGGGGGGCAAACTGCTGCTCCATCTCCACTCATCAACTTTTACTCAGAAAATATGAAAATCAATCTATGATATGGAGTAACACCCATAAAATACAATAAATTATTTTCATTCATCTCCTGAAAACAGAACAAATAAATCTCTTTTTCCACTTATCATCCTATTGTTGTTGTTTTCTATGTAGTTTGGATTGGGATTTTTTTTTACCAGTTTATTTAAAAAAAACATCTGGCATGATCATGATCAACGAAAAAATAAAAATAGCAGTCTGGTGAAGAATAGAAAAAAAAGGATGGGATGGTGTTTGTGGATTTGGCCAAATAAAAAAACCTAGAAAAAAAACCTATGTACCCTGATGGGGGGAACTGGAGGAGAGGGAGGGTCTTTATGTCCCGGTCGTGGTGGGACCTTAGTGGTGCTGGGCAATCCTTTTATCTCATCCCCCTTTTTGCCTACCACTCTTTCTTTTTCTCGTCCATGGACACGCCGCCAGGACCAAGTGCCACCACCAGCAGAAGGCCGCCGATGACAGAGGTGGTCTGGAAGAAGTCGTACTTGAGGAAGTCGTGCATGGGCTTGTAGGCAGGGATGGTCCAGAAAGCGTTGAAGTAGACGTTGATGGCCAGAAGCCAAACGACGAGGGTCAATGCCGCGAGTTTAGTTTTGAAGCCGATGGCCACCAGGATGATGAGGGCCGTTCCCACCATGTTCTGCAGGATCTGTAGAAAGAGGCAAAAGTCCAAAGGTAAACAGAGTTTGAGCCTGAGCTGAACTAATAGTAAATGAACATCACTACTGATGGTCGACATGCTCTGGAGACACTAATTTAAATCATTATCAAATAAAGATCACAAGGACTTCTGTTGAACATCAAACCACAGTGCCTGCATCTCAACAGCCAGCAGCTGTGGCTCAGGGGGAAGAGAGGGTCGTCCACTAACCAGGTCAGTGGTTTCCTCCAGAAAATGCACAGCATGATTGTGCGTGTGAAAGCAGTTCTAGAGTGAAGTGCTTGTATTTAAAATGATCTCCTACCTTAAAGTAACTGATCTCACTGTTTGGTTATCAAAAAAAGCTTACGGATTCTTGGGGGAAAAAAACTTGAGAATGGCAACCAATCACAGTGAATCTTTTACCTTTAGTTCAAGTTCGACACAGACGTGTTAAACTCACAACCTTTCAACCTTTTCACTGCATCCTCATCTGTTTTACTTGACGGTATGTATCTGGGTGAACAGGCCGCAGAATGTAGGCGCAGATGTGTCGTCAGTACTCACAGAGAAGAAGTTGGAGTCAAAGTGCAGCAGAGTCATGAACATGAGCACTAGCAGGACTCGACCGCCCAGCTGCATGTACTGCTTCGGCGAGCTCTCTCCCATGGAGGGGACTCCGGCGAACATGCTCTTTCCTTCCGAACGAGACTCAGCCAGCAGCAGGAGCAGACCACCTCCGAGGGCAAGGTTTCTGGGGGAGAAGAGAGGGGGCGGTTATTTCTGGACAGTGCATTTCAGACAAGCAGAAGAATGTCTGGAATACAGAGGGAATTTTAATGCAATACAGTTTCTGAGGCGGCCTTAAAATGACAGAGCAGCTGATCCTGATCTTGTTTTAGCCCCTGTCTCCCTGTTGGTTGCTTGGTTAGACTGTTTGTCAGGAGGATTATGCAGAAACAAACAGATTTAAAAAAAACATGGTGAAGGGATAGGACATGGGCCAAACCCATTACATTTTGGCATGGATACAGGATTTCTTTCCTGTATCATTTCGAGATTTCGAGCCATTTTCCGATGACAATTTCATAGATTTTGCAGGGATAATTCATCGGCCGTGACGTATTTAGGAGACTAATGTCTAGAAATGTAGTGCAGCTTGATTGAATTTAAGGGGACTGGACTTGGAGCAGTGCTCAACTGAGTGCTGATCTATTTATTGAGTGAAATGAGCATGGTTCCAAACAATACTTTTTTCTTTTTTTACAGGAAATATATATTAAACCCACAGTACATGAATTAAATGTAAAAACAAAAGTCCTACATGGCACAAGAGATTTCTGTGATGACTCATCTGACTATTAAGGATTAAATAAACCACAGGTCTCGTCCACAGTAATTATAGTCATTTAAACTAACTGTTTCACGTTAAGTGCAGTGCTTCTGCAGGTTTAAGTCTCAGAATGAATTACACTTCCCCATAATTGAAGATGAAGTGAAGTAGCCTGGCAGAGAATTACTCTAAATGCAGAACCTTATCCATGTACAAACTTCATAGTACGTCATAATTTAACATATTTCCATTTCTGCAGCACAATCTTTCAACCCGATTATGCTACTTCTAATCTATGATTTTAGGCAACGGAATTTAAAGCTTAACATCAGATATCACCACTCAGTGTAAAAACATCAACAATTACATTTTAATAACTTGTACTTGTATGTGTCCACATGAAGCAAGATCAGCGATTTAGAGATCTGAGTTGATGTTTGGAAGCTGGACAAACATAATATGCACAATATTCCAATAAACACAGAGTTTCTCTTTTACCATTATTTTTGAACCTGTGACTGAAACTAAATGACACCTACCTCATCAAAAATTTAAGGTCCCATAAAATGCTGTAAGCGACAGTCTGGTGGAGAAAAAAAGAAAATGTTTCAGATTAGACACAATAACATCATGTTGGGGCGGTATATTGAAAATGTAGTTATAGTGTCTTCTCACCTGTAGCGCTATGATGCCAAATAATCCAAAGCAGGCATACTGTACAAAATTTCTACTGAGGATGAGGACACAGCCACCTGTTAGGACACACAAGAGAGCAAAGATGGTTAAAGTTAAGGCTAATGTTGGTCTCCAATTTTGTCTAGAATGAAAAATGCAAGCCTGAGATATAATTAGCCACTTTATGTAAATAATCATGATTACGTTAAAGCTATTTGAAAAAACAATTTAAAGTAAAACAACAATATTCACTTGCTAGAGTACTTGAAGAGACTAACTGATTCTAGCA